GGGAGGGGGAGGGGGAGGCCGCCGCAGCTGGGAGGAGGGACCAGGGCGCGCGGCAACAGCTGTGCGGCCCCAACCTCTGCTCCTGGACTGAGGCCTCACCTGGGAGCGCCTGCCACCAACTTGATCTCCCCGGGCCTGCTCTTCGCGGTTGGTATTACGTGCAATCTGTTTGGCGCCTCCTTGGTTATGTATGTTACATTCTTGATATATACACATCTATTAATTACACATGCATCCAGCGATGGGAACTGGGGAGTTACCCCAGGCCCCTCTCAGGGACATTTGTTTGCACTTGGCCACCTGTCTAGGTGTGACACTGACGTTCACAGGGGACCCAGGAAAGGTAATTGTGTGCACCTTACTCTCCAAACCTTTTTTAAAAAAAGTCTATATTCTCTGGAGGTTTGTACTGACTAATTGATTTTAATGAAGTTTCCCTCTAGGCCAGAAGAAAATCTTAGCTTTATTTAAATTTCAAACTAGAGTGCTTGATTGTCAAGTGCATTTGCCTGTGTTTTACATGTGTACCATATTTGTTATAGTCCCTGCTCCTTTTGGTAAAACAAAACCTCAAAGGATTTCATTTCCCCAGATTTACAGCCCCCCATTACCCCATCTGAGCTCCGGGGAATTAACCTGTCTCCCTGGGAGCAGAAGTGACGGTGCGGTGGTTAAATCTAGAAGGAGTGGAAAGAGGGTTAAGGGACATACTTACTCTTCATTTAAAAGAGAAGAGATTTTCCCAATCAATCAAGATTGCACCATCCTGTGATCATTTAAACCATAATGGTGACCAGTTAAGCACTTCAGTTGAATTTGGTAGCTTTCCTGAAAACCAGCATTTTCCTAAGAATCAATTACCTCATTGTCCCCACCCCCACCCCAACTGCACTCATGGTTTTACCTGTTAAGTGTGTCTTCTCCAACAGCTCTTTTCCAAGTGCCTAAGGAACATTCCATTCTCAGCAGCTTATGCTCCAACAGTACATTTTTAAATTAATGCAGGTATACTGAATTT